ATTTTGGTCCAAATAAAAATGTGATTACATATGATGTGATTATATGGGAGGTGACTATATGGAGGGACGACTGTATATATATTTTTTATAATTTCAACGATTTTGTCATTAACTTTATTATTTATTTAAGCAAACATTATATATATTTACATATACTTTTAACCTATCTAAGTAGTCATTATGACCTTATCCAGCTACTCTATATAGTGCCCAAATGCAACCGTCTGCATCATCTCACATATAAGATGGACATTCTTGTGTACCTCTATCAAGAAGCACTCTAAGTTCTGATCTAACTCAGAACTTTAATGTTTTTACTAATTTATATATACCCTGCTGTATATACTACTGTACAATATTTACCAGTTATAATCTATCCCTCATTACTTATCACATTACTCCTAATTCATTTCTTGTATAACTTCCAAATTGGTGTTCTAGGAGTGGGGCGCTCTTTTTGCTTCTAGTTTGGTGTCCCTCGAGATGTTACTTCAGATCCTAATCCATATCTCAAGCCAGGTACTGCCGCCATCCGAAGACCCATATCTCAAGCTACCTACTGCCACTATTAAGAGAGCTGTTCGCATAGTTCCAGATATTCATATCGTATACTACCAAATTAGGCTACCGCTCTTTTTATAATACTCTTTTTTAGTATGATATTACAGAAGTCTAAATCCTTAGGATAAGAGTTAAGTACCTTATTTAATTACTGTTACAAGCCAGTAACCCGGAACTCATGCTTTTGCTATGTTTTGTTATGCTTCCACGACTCCCATATAGGTTATGCGACACATTACTTACTAGCCAACTTTATTTTCGTACTACTAAAGCACTTGCTTCCATGCTTATTGGGGTTTCTTTTAAACGGTTTTCTTGTTTCCTTGCACTAGAGATGTTTTATATTTGGTAAAGCTATTCTCTTACCACAGCCCCTTACTATGTTCACTGCTTCTCTCACCGCTTCTGGATATATTGTATACAGCCATCCTCCCAATCAAGATCCCAATGCCGCCTTAAGGTTGTTGGTGCTATCTTGCCAATCGTAGATTCACACGCACAGCCTTCTGCAGTATTACCTTCTGTGACCCATATCACACGCAGTGCCTGATTTTCTCTATGGCTCGGGACTCCTTTCAAGAATTCTTTATTAGCCAAATATGTACTTCATATGGTCTTACTACCACAGGGTTCCACATTCAAAAGCCCCTGAAAGTTACAGAGATAATTAATTAAATTAATTACCACTAGCTATAATTGAACCGTCGATCTCGTCTGTGGAGAGTTAGGTGCCTAGACCACTAGGCTACGGGACCCTAACCCGCTACATTTTATATTTTATATATAGAATATGTTTAATAAATATATATTTATAATATAATACACAGTATATGTTATTAATATACAGGTGACCCTTATTAATATCAACCAGTTTTAAACTATATTGATAGTGATATTAATAAGAAATCATATAAAAATTGATATATATGAGGGAATTTTAATATATATATATAAATTTGGTTTGTGGTTTAGGTTGATATTAACAAAAGTCACCTGTATAAGAGATGTTTTTTATACTAAGATTGTTAACTATACAGTACACTTTATAAGAGATTATGTATTATATAGTTTGGCTATAATAATAATACAATTTTTGAATAATTAAAAAAATTTTGAATAATTTAAAATTTAGTTTTAAACTTAGCTTATAGTGATATTCAAAAATATATATATAGCATACTATATTATATATATATATATAGTATATATATTATTCTATTATTCTGTAATTTACATTAAAAATGATCGTGGATCTATGCATCTGACTATCTTACTGTCTATAAAAAATATGTTTCTGGTTTACTTTCTATTAAAAGTAAAATATATAGTATACTTTCAAGGGAGGAATTATATACCAGACTTTTGTTATATATGATGAGTATCAAATGACAATGTTTTTTATCAAAAACATCAATATATAACAAGAGCAATATGTCTGTTTATTATAGAAATAGCAAAATCGATTAATATCATTAGCTAAAAATATAAGTTCCTTTGATTGTGAATATTAATAATATAAATAATAGTAAGTTTTATTTTTTGTTTTGTTATTTACTTGTATAAGAAAAATAAGTTTATTAACCAAGGCCTCATCTTTTATATAATTTGCAATAGGTTTAAAGATTAATCTTGAAATCAGAAATATAATTAATATAATTACATTATTAATATTAGTTTAATCTGCACAAATCATTAATATTTATGCTAGAACTAGAGTTGCTATTGAACTAAATAGTATTGCTTATGACCTTTTTGAGCTATAAAAGAAGTTGTGACATATTTCAGTTAAAAAATATACCATAAATATACAATGCTAATTATACCATTTATGGTAATAAAACACTAATCTAATAGTTCTAGAAATTTCATTATGTCAATTCAAGAATGATTACAAACCAATCAAATCAACTGAATAGGAAAAAATTTTATTATTATACAAACTAGAATATTTCAAATCTTATTTACTTTTTTAATGGTTTATTTATTTTTTTATGAGAGTTAACTAGAGTGAATTATTGTGGATTATTTAAACTACATATTTTCTACTATCTATTAATGCTTTTATTTCAAAGTTTTAAGCAATAAATAAAACATGTAAAAAATTTCCTAAAACTGCTTGCAAGAAGTCATACAAAAGCCAATCAAATCTGTGCAGATCATTCTAGAACCGGATTTTCTAATTTGCCCTTATTTGCTATATTTCTTGACTGTATTTTAAATTTTATATTTAGTATATTAATCATGTAATATTAATTAAACAATATAATTGGTAACTTGAGGATCATCCAAATGAAGACCTCTGATTGGCTCGTGTTGCCAAACAAACATTCCACTTTTAGATGAGTAAAGTGCATCAAAAATTACGTTTTTGATGCATCAAAAGTTACGATGTTGATGATCATAGTGATAAAAATCAAGAACATAATCTTGAAAAGAATGTCTGTCTACACGCGGACTAAAGTTACGTTTTTGATGCATGACTATATTTGATAATTTATTCGCTCCAGACTTACAACAGTTTTTTAAAACTGTTCCCTAGTATATAGGATTGAGATTATACTAGGGACAGTTTTAAAAAACTGTTGTGAATAAATTTAGTCATGCATCAAAAACGTACATGTGGTCAGACATGTTCTTGATTTTTATCACTATGATGCATCAACATTGTAACTTTTGATGCACAAAAACGTAACTTTTGATGCACAAAAATGTAACTTTTGATACACTTTACTCGTCCATTATATGTCCTTCACTACGCTCTGGACAATGACTAGGCCAATGCGAAGCATTATATATCCGGAGCCTATAATTATCGAATATAGTCATGTATCAAAAACGTAACTTTAGTCACGTCTGCGGACAGACATCCTTTTCAAAGTTATGTTCTTGTTTTTATCAACTATGATGCATCAAAAACGTAACTTTTGATGCACTTTACTCGTCCATTAAATGTCCTTCGCTATGCTCCGGACAATTAATCGCGCGAATATGATGTCAGCATCTCGCACATAGGCATCAGATTTAATTATTTATATCCCTGTATATTTAAATCCGAATTTTACACATATCGATATATCCGGGTCTAATTATTAAATCCGGATCTAATGCTGTAATGATTAATGATTAAATCCAGATCCACTAATTAGTCGGACACCCTACCGTCCCGTTCTTGTGCCTTTTATTGGGCATGAACTTACAGATCCCACTATTGATATGCCCGTTAATATATCATGGATGTCTTTGTATATCAAAGCCCAAATGTTATAGTAAAAAATATTCGTAATTGTGAATCTCTAAAAAGTAGCATTTACAATATTTTTATAAACTCATGACAGTATACACAATTTTATTGTATGTTAATTGATGATTGGTTAATATTAACTACTATATATATGCGCATTATTGTATTCATTCCAATGGATTATTCTCCCAGTGGAATTTTTCATTTAAACCACTGGAACATTGGAAAATCTGAAAGTCCAGTGAGGTTTTATATTCCAGTCAACAACACTGTTCTATGTGTTCTAGAGCATTTTTTACAATGTGCGACATTTTTGGATCCAGAGTTAGTACAAAAGTAAAATTTTGCGTAGCTTTAGCTCTTTCACCCATTGCCTTATGAATTTTTGCTATTAGGAAATAAACTTTAGGTTCATTTGGAACTGTCTTTTTGAGTTTTTCCAGTTCTGCAAGCGCGTCCTAGAAAATAAAAGTATTTTATTATATGTACATATATTTAACAACTTAGAAAAATTTCAAAGAAAAAAAACCTCATATTGTTTATCTCTGTATAAGGATTTCGCCTTTTTGAATATGGCTAATGGTGTTTGTGGAGTAACCTGGCACGCACGATCATAAAGACTACGTGCTTCTTCAACTTTACCCATCTTTTCTAATACCTGTCATAAATTATAATATATGTTATTGTCGTTTCAAAGTTAATATTTCTGAAATCAGCTTACCTTGCCCAAGCAACACATAAGTACAGCATGATTTGGGTTGATTTTCATAGCCATCCTATAGTTTTGTTCTGCTTCGTGCGTTTTACCACATGTGATGTAATAATTGGCAAGACCGTATCTAAGCATAGAAGTTAATTTTTAATGAAATAAATAAAAACTAATTATTAATATTTTAAAAATGAAAAGAAATACTTACAATGCATTATAATGTCGATTATTAGTATTTAACGCATTTCTAAAGTGCTTTTGAGCATCTTCATAATTAGCGTTAGCCATACTTTCGTGACCGGATAAGGTATGTGCGTAAGTGAATGATTGATCAAGTTGTATCGCTCGCCGAAAGCATTTCAATGCCACATCATGTTCTTGTTGCCGACTAAAACAATTACCAACTGCACACCAAGTTTGTGGTGATCTACGCTCAAACTCTATTAGCTCATGCGCTAGAGCACTGAGATCAGTATCTTTACGCAAATGCCATAATGTCGTGGAATATAATTCCATATCTTCGAGGCGATATGATTCAAGTTGACGCGCTTTTTGAAAAAAATGTTCAGCCTTCGTGATTTCGATATATAATGTAAATAGGGTTAAGTAATCGTAAATGGTAATAGTAAAAAATGATAATAATAATAATTGTAAAATCGCATACCGTAAGGTAATCAACCATTTCAAAATGGGCCTTCGCCATATGACTTTGAACCCACGCTGTATTTTGTTGTGAAGGTGGAAGCTCCGAAAAAACTTCAATCGCTTTAGCACATTCATATTGACTTAGATACCCATAACCTTTAGCAAATTGCTTTAGCAGAAGCAAGAATTCATTATCTGATTTCAAATTTGTATCATCTACTTTGTCACAATTTCCCGTGAATTCCAGGTTAACCTGAGGACTTAGTGAGGTTTTTTGTAGAGCTTCAGTCTATTAAATTTAATTAAATTTAAATAAATTTAAATAAATTAGAATCCCAGTGTAAAAGGAATATTATTTAGCAAACATTTACAATATTAGGTCTTACTACTTCATTTTCGACATTTGTAATTGTTTTTCCTTCCCTTATTACTTTGGACCATTTCTTTTCGTCATCTATGCCTATAAGAATTCTTTCATCATTAGCAATTCGAGATCTTTTTTTTTCTCTAATATCTGTTACAGATGTAGATATCAATGGTAACGCAGTCTATTAACGTGAATATATGAATAAATATGGTTAATCTAAAAGGTCATAAATAACAAATGTTTTTGTTTCTGTAAGATTAAAGATAAAAATGAGAAATTGTAAACCTTCAATGAAGAAATCTGCATACTTCTCCTCGAATTTTTTTCACCCTTTAAACTCTGTGAAAAAAATAACCATAAATTATTTATTATAAGATGCTTATTAATAAAAGATACAAGAATAACGTACGCATACCGATTGTGGTACAAACATTTGTGAATTACGAAATAAATCGGCGCACGGTATTCTTGTAGATTTTTCAGTGGTAGATTGGAATATTTCGTCAATGTCAACTTGATTTGATTTACCTGATAAATAAACGTGAATAAGATGCTTTATGATATTATAATGTATTTATAACCCGTATAGGGATCTTGCAACAAAGAAAAATACCAAGCTGACAAAGACTTTCAAAGGCTTCCCACATATAAGGATTTTTTTTAATACAACAAAGGTAATGATGGGCAGCATCTTCAGGTCGTTTAGCCTGTTTGCACAAAGCTCCTAGAAGGCACAAGACAGATGACGCGTCTGGTTGATTATTTTTAGATATATAAGCAAAAGTATCTGTAAAAATAAAAAGTAAAGACGGATCAATAAAGTGGAAACGTTAAATAAAGTAAGAGCTGAACACGTCACGTCGAATTTCCTTGATACGGAACTAAAGGATTTGAAATTGAATTTAACACAAAACATAATATGATCTCAAATAATGAAGTATTACCAGTTTGATTCAGAATTAGCAGGAAAATTGAAAGTTATAATAATATAAAATGATACTTTACCTGATGAAGGATCATCTATTTCCGATAGAACTGAACGAAGTTTTTCTTCGCCTTCACCCGCTTTGTTAAGATCCAAACAGCATTTTGCAAAAAGGTATTTGCATTTTATTGATTGGGCTTCTTTCAACAACATATATGCAGCTTTTTTTTGTCCGTTACGATAATAGCAAGTCGCTAGCAAAAAACGCGAATTTTCATTATTTTGATCTTGTGCGTGTAATCTCTCCGCAAGAAAGATTGCGTTTCTATATAAATGATTGTCTAAAGAATGCCAGATCATATTTTCTAATTGTGTAAACTGAAAACGACTTTGTTCATTAAATGCCATGGTCATGAAGTTTTAATTACAATTATAAAAGTTGATCGAATGACTTCTACCCCTATATATACACATAAGAAACGATCATGTGACATCTGATCTACGATGCGACTTACGAAATTCTGTGCGATTCTGTGATAGTACTGTAGTATAGAAATATTTATGTGATTTAGTGTATGTACGTAACTACTTAGTATTGATACGTGGCTTAATTCTGTGATATTTTTTTAAATTTGTGGATTCTGCAGTAATTCTGTGATGTTCTGTGGTGGCTAAGACGAATCTCGAATTTCTGTGATTAGCTGTTAAGAAAAATTCTGCTGTTTTCTGTGATCGCAGCAAATTATCAACGTTGAGCGGAGTTTAGCAGCGCTGGTATAAGAACTTTATGGAACCTAGCTTATTCTAACTTCGGTTCTAGCGTCTTTACACCTTTTTTTCAAGTTTTAGACATGGTTTGTAACATACAATTAATACTTATTGTGTTCTAAGCCTTCGCGTAATTAACACCTAACATCTTTAGACCAAACATACAGTTCTTATCTTTCAAAAAACCAACAATCCCAATACTAGAACTTGGACCGAACATACGAACGTAACAGCAGCTCTTGAAGGTTAGTAAACACGAACGCGTGTTTTCTCATGGTCAATGAAATATAGTGTGCTACAGTAATTTAGTTGTTTTTTATACAGTAATATATACCATATCTTATTATACTTTTACGAGGATCTAATATTTAAACTTATTTTTTGTACTATAGCAATTATCGGCATGTTTGAAAAACAACTTGCACAGACATATCCAGACCAAAGTCACATTAATTACCAAGTAGGAGACCTTATAGGTTTCATCGGTCAATGTAAAGAATTTGTGGCCCTTATCTTTGATCAAAAAGTGAACGCATATGTCCCAAGAGACAAAGCTTGGATTCAAGAAAAGATCGTTTCCCATTTAAGATTAAAACTCGAAAAGTCCAAAAAAGTAGCTAGTCACGATATGGGTAACAGGGCAACTAGTAAATCATATATATAAATTAAGGTTGCCTCTTGGAAGAACCATGGCAATGGTTTTCTTATCTGAGATACCAAAGAATTTGTTATAGTATAGCATTGTTTGTGTTGTGTATGTTTACACCACTTATGAATGTATTTTAATGACCGTTTTTCTCTTTGCGTACAACAATTAACTGTTAAGGCGTCTTACGTAACCGCCGATCCATATTTGATGACTCATTTATAGTTGTGTCAAGATATCAAAAATGATTAACGTTAAAGAATCTTTATTGTCGGATTAGTCTTGTTTTATAGTCTTAAATCATTGAATATTTTATTGACGGCTTTTATAATAATTTCGTTAATTGTACGTATCACACCTAAGCCACCGCCATACTTTTTTTATACGTATCTCGATATATCGATATAACGATAATAATTTAAGGCAGGTTTTAATAATCGGTAATGCTATTTTTAGTATCATACGACGATGTAAACTCGAGGTTATTAAATTCAGTTTTTAGCTAATAAAGCATCGGGAATATTTTACCTTGCATTATTTCAATATACAGTCGAACTTTCTCAATAACTCATAATTAATTTATGAATTGAAATTCAATTTTTAGGTTGCGTTTTTAGTTCAGGATTGATTTTTGCCAGGTTTCGCCATTCGTCTTTTCCGATTTTAGGTTTCTTCTTTCGTCCTTCACCGGCTCTAATAAAAGGTTTCACCTAACAACTATAAAAACATGTCATTTGTTGGCAAACTAGTTCATTATGCTGCTGATGCAGTCCTTGTTTCTGCTGTGCTGGCTGGTATTAAAAGGTCTACTGGATTAACGTAAGCTTTTATTTTTATTATTTATTTACTCCCTTTCTAAGATCCTGGTCATTTTATGACTGAATAATAAATTTTCTTGTGTAGACTTGCTACACACCGAATCGAGAACGATGAGGTTCGAAATGCTGTGAATAAATTTCTCGGTGTTGGCGAATGGGTTGTGGATCAAAGTATCTCATATATGAGCACTTCATCTTACTTTGAAAGAAAGCGATGAGCTCTTATTAAACGATTTATGATTTATTTTACAAATAATAATTATAATTGACAAATAAATTATGACAGAACATTTCTTCGATTTATTTATTCTCAATTTGGCGCCCTGTCTCTGTCAAACTCTGATTTATATGTGTTTTCTTCTAACAACTTTTCAACTTCTTTCTTGATATAATCAACTCGAGATGTATCAATTAAAAGATGTCTGTCATCAAGATCTTCAATGATGACTTTTTCCTTCTTATCAAGGCTAATAATTACTTGCTTAACTGCTGGGTCGCTTGAATAAATTAAAAAAAGGTTACTGGAATTTGATTATATTACAAAATAACGACGGCTAAATTTCAATACCATTTAACAATTGTTCCTAGTAACATTAACGATAAAGTATTCGTTATCTCGCGAAATAAAATTTAAAATAAGAAATTTTTACTGTATTTGCATCACAATTTACCTTTGACTGCTTTAACCATTTTAGAACTTTTAGAAACTGTGTTGCTAAGTAATTATTTCGTTGTAAGTATTAAATGCTTTATTTTAAATTTAATAGAATCTCATGACAACTGTGGCCGCGTTTTTATATTTTTTTCATTTTCGTGTAACAATTATGTCCAATAAAATTGGTTAATGAACAGGGGTTTTATCAGACGTTAGTAGCTCACCCACAAAAAATTTTCCGGTCATGTGACTTTTTATGGCACTAGCCAATTATTTTTCGAGATC